ATATGGAAAATAATGTGTTTTTTTAACCTTAAACTGCATAAACACATTGCATTACACCAAATACACAAAAGAATGTTATTTTTAGCAACGTCATATGACCCCTTTAATTAAAATTAAAACTGTGAATCAAAATATTAGCAAAAACTATAATAGTATATATATTATACTAATATAGCACTGTGCAAAATATAGTTTTAGTTTTATATATGTTTTTTGGTAACACTTTCTATGAAGCCTGTATTTATAATACATTATAAGAGTATTCTTAAGGCATTATAATGAATGAATAATGCATTATAAAAACTTTATAATATGTTGTATCATCTCATGAGTAATCATAACAAGTTTTAATGCGTTATAATGTTTACTTATTTGTGGTTATAGCTTTTAAGAGCTTAATGATGATTTATAATGCACAACACTTATAAATAATAACAACAATGACAACAACAATAATAATAAAAATAATATTTTTTTTCTCAAACAGCCATAAGGTCAGTTATTTGATGAGATGAATGTGTTATATTTGAACCATATTTAATGTAATATCAGTAAGATAGTAAGCTACTGCACAGTTCTTAAATAAATAATGTCAAGATATGAGACTTATAATCCATTATAAATTAAGTGGATTTAACATGGTGTTTATTGCGTGTTATAAATAATCAAACTCATAAAAGTTATAACCACAAATAAGTTTTATAATGTATTATAATTGTCGTTATGAATATTTATGAGATGAAACAACATATACTTTTTTATAATGCATTATGCATTCATTATAATGCCTTAAGAATACTCTTATAATGTGTTATAAATATGGGCTTCATAGAAAGTGTCACCGGTTTTTTTGTTTTTTTTTTCACAGTCTGCAGAGTTACAGCATGCAACATGAAACATTAACAGATTGTTATGTGGCTTTTTAGAGCTGCTTAAAACATTGATGATGTACAGTTTTCTGTACTTGCAGTATGAGTCACCATTGATGTTTTTTGAGTATGCTATTTGATTTTGCTGTGGGGTAGTGATTCATAAAGTTGTGTTTGAGTCGTCATACTTGTGTTTATATGCTTGTGTAGAAGGCTGCAGGGAGTTTGTGTATTTCGTGTTCTGCAGTTGAACTTTGGTTGTTGATTTCCCATGTAATGCTATGTAATGCAAATTTGTCAATGTTACATTTCGCTAATGTGAAACTGATTGCTGCTTTGTTTGTGTGTGTGTTAGAGGGCCGTTTAGGGAAGAACAGTGTAGCAGCGTTTTTGCTGATGATTAAGAACATGCTGCGCAACCATCCAGCCAATCAGGAGAGTCTGCTTCAGTGCCACGGGCCGCCCATCATCGGAGCCATGCTCGGCAAGGTACACACACACACACACACACACACACACACACACACACTGGTGAATAGAGAGTGCATCTGGAGGTCTAACAGGACATATTGTGGTGTATGTGACTTCAAGGCGAAGCATCCTGTTAGGAAACACTTGTGTTAACAATCCCATGATATTGCACAATAGACACACAATCACAGTTGTTCATGCTTTAAGGTTTTATCTGGTGCCAGGAATCTTTAAAGAAATGAATAAGCAAGGTTTGAGTGTCTGACGTAAACGCATTCAAATCAAGAGTTCACACGTTTATCACAACAGCGTGTTCCAACATCTGTGACATTTAACACGTAATCAGTATGAAAGTTTCAAATCTGTAGGAGCTGCATAGTTGTCATTACATTAGCGATTCGATCGGATGCTAGGCATGTGATATTAAGCAGATCATTTGATAAGACGTCTATGGGCGTCTCTGTTACAGCAGCTGAAGTTCAGAGAAGCAGATGCTGATATATTTCTGATCTGCTGTAAGATCATTAGGCTTAGGAGTGGCTTTTATTGTTCTACAAAATTAAAAGTCATATCTGATCTGCTTTTGATGCACTGTGATTTGACAGGCTTGTAAAGTCCTTTGAAGAGAGTTTCTTGGGTTTGAGAGATGGAAAGCACACACACTCATAGTTACATAAGTATACCATCCGCAGGCTTAAAACACTGGCTGTCAATTAAATGCATTTATGTAGGACAAGTATTACATTTAATTCAATTAAAAATTATACTTGTATTCCATTATATTTATATGAATAGCTTAGAAATTTTTTATTAATTTTTACACTATCATTCAAAAGTTTGGGGGTCTGTAAGATGTTTTCTCTTATGCTGACCATTGCTGCATTTATTTGATGAAAAATACAATGAAACAGTAATATTGTGTGTGTGTGTGTGTGTGTATATATATATATATCATAACTGATCTTTTTATGTATACACACACTTAACTACAATAATAGTTATGAGATACAATTGAACTGAACTGAAATAAAGGTCAGTGAAGCAGACAAATCACAAGGGACATTTCTTTTTCAAGAATAAAATCCATCTTTTGTTTTTATTTTCTTTCATTTTCTTTCAGTAAGTCATATTCTGTGTCTTATAATTCAGGCTGAAAGAACCTGTAATAGTACATTAGCAGAAAGAAGAAAGGCCTTTGACACTTTGTGATTGACATTCACAAAAAATATATATATCTTTAAATATAGCTACAGGACACAGTGATCAAGAATACGGGTCTCCTATTCGGTGCAAAGTGTGCATGTGTGCATAATGTGTGTGTGTGTGTGTAGTCGGCAGAGGATACTGGTGAGACAGAGACCAGTTATCTCCCTGAGAATAAATCTTTGTGTGTGTGTGTGTGTGTGTGGTGTGTGTGTGTGTGTGTGTGTGTGTGTGTGTGTGTGTGTGTGTGTGATTAATACATATGCGATTAATTTGATCACTATATCATTTAAATAATTTGATTATTTTTGTAATTGATTGATGGCTTTTATAACTACAAAAACACTTCATCTCCTGTCTCGCATTCTTTTTCTCCTCCAGGTTCCCAGCAGTATGATGGACATGAGTGTACTGATGGCCTGTCAGTTCCTGCTCAAGCAGGTGTCCAACGAGGGCAGCAACGCCCTCCTATCACAGCTGTACCAGTACCTGCTCTTTGACTTCAGGATCTGGAGCCACAGCCACTTTGCAGTCTGCCTGGGTAAACAACCAATACACATCACAATGGCATTTACTATTGGGTCATTTCATGTCAAATCAACCACATTTTCTGAAATTTCCCGGCTCAAATGTTTGATTTTGTTCATATTTTTTTCTGTAGAAAGACAAATATAAATAGTGATGAAAGGCAAAATATTAAATGTCACAGATGTATATTTACTGAGTAATCCACTATTTTGTAGAGAGGGGTCAAAATGACAATTTTCACTGAGATTTGGAGCCAATTTACAGGGGTGTAAAAATGACTTTAGAAAGCTGTCAGCATCATTATTTTATTTTTAAACAGAGATCGGTAGGTGTCAGCTGTATGTAAAGTGTCCCACATTTGTTTTTGACCTGAAAATGTGAACAATTCACCAATTTACTCATGGAGCCGCATTTAGATCTCCATATCTCTGAGATTGAACCATCGAGGGCCTTTAAAATGAAGATACCAAAAGGAAAGTTTGTTAAGAATCAGAATCTAAAAGGATATTAAGATCTCTTTAATACTTATTGAGTTACAGGCATGCAAACTTGAGGCAAAAAAAGTGCTTTTTGCCATTTTTGAACTGTCACCGTTGGCATATAATGAAACAAAGATTGCTAAAGTCAACAGATTTTACTAATAGACCTACCAATCTATGTGTAAAAATAAAATAATGACGCTGCCAGCTTTCTAAAGTCATTTTTACACCCCTCTAATTTGGCTCCAGGTGAAACTTGTCATTTTGACCCCCCCTCTACAAAATAGTGGATTACTCAGTAAATATACATCTGTGACATTTAATATTTTGCCTTTCATCACTATATATATTTGTGTTTCTACAGAAAAAATATTAACAAAATCTAAAATTTGAGCCGGGGACCTCTAGTTGAGTTGACATGGAATGACGCAATTGCTTTTTTGGTATTCAATTTATTTGCATTAAATGCAAAAAATAAAAATCAGGTCCTAAAGGAATAGTTTACCCAAAATGACAAATTTGTTCTTACCTGATTAATTAATTTCAAACCCTTTTATCTGTATGTCTGTATTTGTGTTGGTTTGCAGGTCATGTGCAGTACCTAACCACTGTCATCAATGAAGGCAAGCTGAAGACTCGTAAGAGGTATGGTGTTCAGTACATCCTGGACTCGATTCGGACACACTACAGGTGCGGTCAGAACTGAAGCGTTTTTGCTGGTTGAAATTTAAATATTCAGTGTGGATATAAGATGTTTATAAGTGCCCTATTTGTGTCCACAGTGTGGAGAAGGATGGCAGTACTCTGTCTGATGAGAGGCAGACGGTGCAGATCTCTCTTTTCGCTCTGCTGAAGGACCTTCTGAAATCTCCCACTGCTGAGGAGCTGCACAGTGTACTAGCCTACGCTGCTATAGTGCAAGACGAGCAACAGGTGACCCACACAAACACAAACCTGCTCTGTTCCAAAACCTAGTGTGTTGCTTCTGAGATATTAAAACATTGGTTGATTGACTTCCTGAAAAGAGTAAATAGTGTGTCTTTTTGTGTCAGATCAGTGTTTCTTTGAGTATCCCAACCAGCCTGACACATTGGCTCAACCAATGGTGTTATTCTGGGGCAGGACTATTTGTTTGCTCAACCAATGGAAGTTGGAATAAAATATATTTTTTAATACATTTAACCCTGGAAGGCAGAAAGTGTCAATTGACACAACAGTATGTGATTTGTGGATTAATTTCAATTAATAAATAATAGTAATAATAATAATACATATAATTCTGTTATTATATGTATTCCTCTTAAATCTTGTATGTTACTTAATTAGGGTGCAATTAGATTTAATTTCTTAATGAATGTTAAGTTTAGTAGTAAGTAGATTTCATAAAAAATAGCATTTTTGTACTTATATACATTTCCGATTACATTTTGATTCGCCGTGGTATTTGTTTGTCATACATTTTGTCAACAATAATTGCCTGGCATTCCATGGAATACACAACAATTTGATTTGTCAATGTGTCATTTTCAGATTGTGTGTTGGAAAAAGACAAAGGCCCTGTTTACACCTAAGTTAAGTTAAGTTGAGTTTTTGTCAATTACAAGTGGACAATGCTAAATACAGGTGTAAACAGGGTCTGAAACGTTTTGAGCTTGACCACTTTCAACCACTTCCAGATGTAGTCAAAATTGCAGAGGAAGTCGACCGGATTTTTTTGTAGTGTAGACAGTCATGGGGTCAAATGCGTTCAAATAGCCACTAAAGACAGGCTCCTCTCTGAATACAGACCTCATTTGTAAACAGTATGGGTTGTGCTGTGAACAGTGTTGGGTAAGTTACTCAAAAAAAGTAATTGATTACAAATTACTTATTACTGCTTGAAAATTGTAATTTGTTTACATTACTGATTACTGCATGTAAAAAGTAATCAGATTACTAATTACTTTACTTTCAAGTTACTTTGAAAACATATCAAACCTAAAAAAAATACACTTCAAAGTGAAAATTGTAGTTCGTTCAGTAATTTAATATTGACTGAAAAATATTACAAAGGTATGAAAACAGCAACTTGACTTAAAGATTTAATCCATTTCTATAACTTAACATTCTTAGTATAAACCTGCCTAACAATGAAAAATGTATCTTTAAATGTGCCTATACAGTGTTTTATATACAACATTGCTTGCTGAGTGTAGGGTATGTGTATGCTGGCTTAACTGTGTTTAACTGTGAGCATTAAATACAGAAAAAACCTTAATAAATTGAAAACGGTTCTGATAACATTTGAAAACAGTATTGATGAACATACAGTGCATATTTGAATGCTAAAAATGAATCTTGCTTCTTTGTTTATGGAGGTGATGTGGGCGTTTACAGGTTCGCGCGTCTCACGTGGATGATTACCGTATGAATAGTGCGTGCTGCGCGGAGGCGTGATCACATTACAGATAATGAGCTCAGACAGGAAAGACTGGACCTCACGTTGGTTTTATACGGATTATTTCATCAGAGAATATTTGTTTTGGATAAGACTTACTTAATTTAAAAGTAGACACTTCAAGCTTTCCATAGATATGTTTCTCATGTCTGTGTGTGAAGTATTCACTGAGTTTGGGTTCATTTTAGTGACGCGTTTCAGAAAGAAGTTCGCGGAGACTGAGACGGCAGAAAGTGCACCCTGTTTGTTTTCTTTATTTTACAAAAGCACAATATTTTGTTTATACTGTGTGTACACAAATAAAAGTAGACCCTTCACAGATTCAAATGATGTATTACACTTATATGTACGATCAAAAATGGCGGAGCATTTTAAGTTATTTTCGCTGTTATCAGGAAAAAATGCACATGATTTTAAATGGCATATAATAATTTTTTTTCTTAACACTACATTTGTAATGTAAGTAGCGTAATTATATTGACTTTAGTAACTGTAATCAAATTACACAAATTTAAAATGTAATGCGTTACTTTACTGCGTTACAGGAAAAAGTACTGTGTAACGCGTTATACCCAACTCTGGTTGTGAAGCACGTTAGTCAGACAGGATTAAAATTTTGCCTGCTGAAAGCGTAAGTTTGGATTGAAGGCAAAAATTGTTAAAAACTCAATGTACTCTTACCAGTCCTGATTCTAACACAAATCCACAGCTTTCAGCGTAGTTTTGCGGCTGTCAGAGCAGAAACAAAAGCTGCTGCTCTCCGTATCATTTTCCATTGTCTCTATTCATATGTAGTTCATATGAGTTCATATGTAAATTGTGCAAGGATATTTTGCAATTTTATATCGAAAGATCAGAAAAGGCCCATACATACAAGGAATTCAGGAAAGTGGTCAAAAATGGGTAAAAGCGATGGATTAAAACAGCAGGTGTAAAGGGGAATGTATCTTCCTCGTCTACTTGTGATCTGATTGACCAAAATGTATCTTAATACCAGGTGTAAACAGAGCAAAAAAAGGCATTATTGAACCTTTTAAACATTTGTGTATAATCAAATTTAATATGATTTTATTACACTGAAAAGTAAAGAGAAACCGCATACCTTGTCTTTGAAGGAGCCTTTTTCAGTTCATGTGTTGTTTCTTATTATGGTGATATTCTGGTAAGGTTAGGGTTCGCTAATTGCTGAACGAATGTTCTCCCTCTCTGTAGATGATCAGTATTCTGGATGTGTTACACACTGTATTGAGGAGTTCTCCTTCTCCACGGGAGCAGGCTGTGACGGTTCTTCTGGAGCGAGGGGTGGAGCAGCTCTACTGTCTGCTGCTCAAAACCAACTATGGGGACGAGGCTCGTGAGAGAGTATTCAGGGTGAGAACAAACTTGCACTTTAAATGGTGACACTGAAGTGAGGCATGTGTTGAGATGAACTTTTGAAACCCAAACGGTGAGATCAGTATCTTTCAGAATGATAGGAACACATCTCTACTGCTCTGCTGCAGGTCTTGTATAAAGTCCTGAAGAGTGAACGTGTTCCTGAGCGTAGTAAAATGCGCATCAAACTCAAGGACTCCGGCTACCTTGGACTGGTCTGCTCCTTTGAAGACGTCCCCATCACCATGGCGACTGTACGCTGTCTGTATGAGCAGGTGCTCGCCACAGGTAAACTGAAGAAAATGTGGATGGTAGTTTTCAACTTTACACATCAGGTGTTGATTGGTCTGTTTTTTTTGTCTGTTTGGTGTAGATCCCACTCCGAATTTTAGAGACCTGTTGGCAGTGGCGTACCTGTCCCATCGTGCCGACCTCAGTGTCCGACTGGATATCTGTCGAAAGGTGAGTGACTGATGAAAAAACAGCTAAAACCAGCCAAAGCTGGTTGTCTAATCTTATCTGGTCTTTCAGACTGTTCATAGCTGGTTTAGCAAGTTTTAGAGAGGTTTTGACCACTTATTTAGCTGGCTTAGTTGGTCAGGCTGTGAGACAAGCTAAAACCAGTTACATCCAGCTTAAACCAGTATTAATGATAAGCTTATTTTATGGGGTGTTGTAGGTTTTCAGTTAGACTTTGAAAACACAGTTAGTGTTTTCAGTTAGACTTTGGTTAGCAAACTTGCTAAGAGCTAGCATAGTGCTAATGGCTTGGAATGGCTTGCTTAGCTATAACAAGATATCAAGATAACAAGCTATGTTTTTGATCATGCATTACAAATGGATACCAAAAAGAAAACAAGCTCTTACAGAAAATGTAAATGAATGTCAAATCCCGCCTTCTGATGTGAAGCTAGTAATCAACAGATACATACTGGAGAAATGGCAAGCGGAATGGGAAGAATGTCAAAATAATAAACTTTTTGAAATAAATTCTGTTGTAGGAACAAGATATATTTATTCTTTTAAATCCAGGCATGACCAAGTTGTGTATACAAGGTGCCGTATTGGATTTACTAGATTAACTCATGGACATTTATTGATTGGTGAAGAAGCACCAAAATGTCAATATTGCAGGACTCACTTGACAGTGAAACGTGCTTTTGGTCTGTCCAATATTTAATGTCATGAGACAAAGGTTATTATCAGGACAAACTCTTAAGATGTCAATATTGCAGGACTCACTTGACGGTGAAACATGTGCTTTTGGTCTGTCCAATATTTCATGTCATGAGACAAAGGTTATTATCAGGACAAACTCTTAAGTACTTGTTTTATAAGATGGACCCAGAAAAACTTTTACAATTTCTTTCAAAAGTAAATGTAAAGTATCTTTTATAGAAATGTATGTGTACTACTTTGATTTATAATTGTTTTTATTAATTTATTTGTGTTTATTGTATTTGCATTTTGTATTCTACTATATTTTTAATGTATAATCTTTGCCATGAAATAGCCTGTGAAGCTGATGTGGCAATAAACTTAAATTAAACTGTAAACTGGATACCATAAAGGGATAAGATTGTGTTTTCAGTTAGCCTATGGTTAGCAAGCTTGCTAACAGTTTAGCCTACTACCTTAGCATAGCGTTAACTGTGCCTTTTAGGTAGAGTCAGAAATATCATAATTATGACTTCTGAGTCACAAATCGTACTTATGATTGGCAAACTCTAAAATTCTCGATGATACACAAGTTGTGACATTTGATAGGGATGTGTCGATTTAGTGGAAACACTGATCTATAGTATAGATTAATTACTCAAACAATTCACTCACCAGTTAAAGATTTGAATTAGTCTGATGAATCCTTCACTAATAAATCACTGCATCTGTCATTTTTAAAGAGTGTTTACTGATACAGCATCTCACTCACTACTAAACTGCAAGTCATCATATCAATTTCACATGCCCAAACAAAAGTCAATCTCTCCGTTAACTCACATGCTGACAATACCATCTGGCAATACACAGTTCACTCGCTTTACCTCATAATACAGTCCATCTGACATTAACTTGCAAATGCGACATAATGACAGTGCATTTTAAACACTTTGAAGCAAGACAAAACCCATTTCTGGTGTACTACAGTATATGTTGTGACTTTCTTGGGATGGCCCTGATAGCACACGTACATCACAGAAACGTCTGTTTGACATCTGCAAGACGTATTTTTAGAGTGTTTGCTCATCTGCAGTGCATCTACAGGGCATTTTCTGTCAGATGTCAAATAGACGTTTAGAAAATCTCTTTAAGATATTTATGATTTAGAATGCATGTAAAACTGATATCTTAAAGACGTCTATCAGATATTTGTACAAAGCAGATGCTTTCCAGATGAAGTGATCTTTAACAGACATCTTGCAGACGTATGTGTGCTCTCTGGGAGTTTATTCTCAGCTAAATGAGTAATTATTAAATTAGTAAATTAACATTTCTCTCTCTTTCATCCCTGTAGCTCTTCCACTTGATTTACTCCAACGAAGAGTATGTGAAGCAGCTCGCGCGTCAGTCAGGCTGGCAGGATGTTCTCACCAAACTCTACATCAAAGAATCGTACAAGTCTCGTGCTCTCAGCCAATCCAATTCTTTATCCAGTCCCACCAACTCTCTGGAGCCCGTTCTTCCCAGACCCGTCTTCCGTCGTGAGGACAGCGTAATGGAGGACACCCGGCAGAACGTCTACATTTCCCTCACCGCCCGCCATGAAGAGGAGTACGAGGAGGAAGGAGAAGCTCAGGATGTGTCGGAGGGCTACTCTGACCTCTCCCAGTCTCCTCCGTCAACCGGACAGCTCAAGAATGATTCCCTCCACTTCAAACCATTTGACTCCGGAGAACAAAGCAGTTATTCGTCCACCCTGTCCAACACTGTGGACATTCCATCATCGTCCCGTTTGCTGGAGGAAGAGGAAAACACGTATCAGCCGCTCTCACCCTTCTGCTCACCCTTTGAGCTGGAACTAAGCCTTCAGAAAGGGCCCCAGACACCTGTGGGTAGCCAGCCAGAGACCCCCTCTCCTCTGGAACACAGTAAGAGCTTCCCAGGCATGAGACCACGCAAGAGCTCCAGTCTGTCCAATGTTCTGGACGACACAAGCTACAGCACCGAACCTCCTACAGACACCATCTCTAACACATCCAACCCACAGGTACATGGTGAACACTTGCTAACTTGTTGTCACTCACTCATTCAGTGGACTGTATTAGTAAAGTAATGTAGGGAATAGTGAATAAAGGTTGAGGGAGTGGTTTCAGAATACAGCTCCTGAGACAAGATAACTACAGACACAGAGGGTGTAATTAAAGACAAATGAGGTCAAAGGTCAAAAAACAAGTACAAGTAAACAATGTTACTTGTTCATTGTTCAAAAATAGTTGGTTGGAAACCCAGCAACTGAAGAATGAAGCGGAGTCGAGAGAGCAGAATGTCATTGACACTTGACCCTGCTGGAAAAAAAAACAGCATATTTTATAGCGCTGTATCAGTGGCTATGTTTACATGAAACCAAATAATCCGTTAGTAATCAGATTGATGTCTCAAACAGATTGAAAAGCTTTCATGTAAACACCTTAATTTATCCGATTGAGTTTGATCTGAAATTTCTTTTGGATTAGAAGGGGTGGTGTAGACCTTTTCTAATCCAATCGAGAGTACATGTAAATGTACATGTGAGTACATTAAAAACTGAAACTGGAAAGTACTGCGCAAGTGCAGTGATGTAGAAATGGCGTAATGACGTATGATGCGTAGAACGAGCCGTCGTTTTTGTAGAATTAAGTGTTATAAATGACTGTCATATTACTCTAAAGTTTTCCTTCCACTCATCATCTGTGAACTGGAACAGAACAACATCCCATCAGTCCTCACTTTATATATAAAGTATACTCTCATCCACAGAAGGCTTGTTTTATTAAATCTGCTCTTTAAAACAAAGAAAAGAAGCAATGGGAAGAGAATAGTATGTGCAAACAGTGGGAAACTGTATTCGCGCAGTGTGCGCATGTCAAGAGATCAAATCCGATATTGAAGCGCACATCAACCCGATCACTTTAGTGAGCATTCATGTAAACACTACATTCAGCCTCATTTTAAAAGTGTGATTTCTAGACCTGGAAAAGTAAATTAATAAAATATAATCTAATAAACCCTATGGACAGTTTTATAAAGAATATACATTTCTCTACTTATGCCAAACCCTAAAATTGGGCAGAAATTGTATTTATTATTATTTAAAAAAAAATCCTTATCTAGTAAATCGCAAACAACTGGAAAGGGGGCCCTCAACAATGGAGTCAAAGAGGTTGAGAACCACTGCTCTGAGTTCTACTTTGTGGTTACTTTAATAAGTTTGATCGCTGAAGACTTGCCTCTCTGTCTCCCCCATTAGGCTCCCGAGGAGGAGTTGTGTAATTTGCTGACGAACATCGTATTCTCTGTGCTGTGGAGCGGCACTGAGGGGTCTGAGGATGTGATATGGAGAGAAAGGGGTCAGGTGTTCTCTGTCCTCACCAAGCTTGGCTCATCCTGTCAGCTGGTGCGGCCTCCTGATGACATCAAACGCAGGTCAGAAGCTTAAAACTTTAATGCTCTAAAACTTTCTGATTCAGACATAGTGACAGCTCATAAAAAATTGAGAAATAAGGCACTGCGTTAACAATTCCTCTGTCCCAGAGAGCTCAAATGAAGACTGACAGTTTTTTCAGACTGATTGAACCTTGTAGATTAACGTTTTGAACGAACTTTGAACCATTTCCTAACCCTCCTGAAGTATTTTCATGTGTAGCTTGTTGGGAGAAGTGCTAGTGACTTTAAAGTTTCAGTGAAACCGAAGAAAATGGGCATATTTCTATTTTATGCCCTGTGAAGCTTATTTTAAATTGTAACTGACCTCCATTATGAGAAAAACTACTGCATTTGAAATCCAGTAGAGATCAGTGAGCTGAGACTGGAGGGAAGTACCGTACATGAAAGTGTTCTATGGATTCCTTTGGTTCAGATGAGGGCAGGGTGGGGATCTCTGGAGGGCAGACGTTCTTTGCGCTACTAGGCTGTTGCTTTTCTTTGGTGTGGCTCCAGCATTGCATCACCATAGAGCTTGTTTTTACTTTAAGTCATAGGGTGTGCCTGTCTGATGACTTGTTCAAGACATTGTATTCTGTTTGTTTTGCTGCTGTGAACAAATATCATAAGCTGGCGGGGGTGTTACAGATGCATTATGTGTCTTTTGTATGTTGTAGTCTGTTGGAGATGATGCTGGAGTCGTCTCTGTCAGATCTGAGGGACTCTCAGGGCGTGTCTCTGCCCCATGTGCCTTCTTTGCTCCGCCTCCTCAGACTGCTCCAGGACTTCCTATTCGCCGAGGGCACTGACAATCAAACACTATGGAGTGAGAAGGTGGGGAATGGATGGATATATTCTCATTCTGATTTTATAACTTACACTCTTATTCCAAAGCCAAAAGAGTTTGAAACAGGAAGTTGGAAGAAATCTGGATTTAGGATGTTAGGCTGTTCACAATGCATGCAAATACAACTTGATATGTTAGCGAAAATAAGTGTTTTTGGAAACAGACCCAGAAAATATTGCACACTTTGTATGATGTTACACACCACATCCCAAATGATAAAATTAATTAATTAATTAATTTTAAAAACCCCATCTGAAATCTGATCTGACTATTGAGACCTTTGATGCTGATTCAAAAAAAAAAAATCAGATTTTAATCATATTTCAATGATATATGGATGCGGTTTGGTTCTGTTGTTGTTGCTGTTATTGTAAAAATTACTTTTCAAAAGTTTGGGGTTGGTTCGATTTTTAATATTTTTGAAAGAAGTTTCATATGCTCACCAAGGCTGCGTTAATTTGATAAATAAATACAGTGATATTTTGAAATATTATCATAATTTGAAATAACTGCTTTCTATTTGAATATTTTTTAAAATGGAATTTATTCCTGTGATGGCAAAGTTGAAATTTCAGCAGCCATTACTCCAGTCTTCAGTCACATGATCCTTCAGAAATCATTCTAATATGCTGATTTGCTGCTCAAGAAACATTCTTATTATTAGCAGTGTTGAAAATAGTTGTGATATGTACTGGTATATATATATTTTTTTTTATTTATTTTTTTTTATATATTTTAATACAAAGTTCAAAAGAACAGCATTTATTTGAAATAGATATATATTATTTTGTAACATTAAAAATGTATTTACAGTCACATTTGATCAGTTGAATGAATCCTTGTTGAATAAAAGTATTAATTACTTTAAAAAAAAAATTACCACATTGAACAGTAGTGTATAATATAGAAATTCATAACTATAAGGACACTGTCTCTCAAACATATAAACTCATATGTACTGTTTATAATATATGTAATATAAGTTATGTGTACAAATTTTCTTTTAGAGAAACTTTATTCTGACGTTTTATTGTATACCATGTGTTTATTTGTGAATTAGTGTAAGAGTGTGTCTATATTTGTGGCAGATTTTTGAGGGGGTGGTGAATCTGTTGGATAGGCTGCAGGCATGGCACACGACCCCTGGGTCAGCGGGGTCCTCTGAGCTCAAAGAGATGTCTCTGATCGGCCTGCGTATCATCACTGGATACATTCAGCAGCAGCAGAACCCACAGGTACACACATACAGTATGCACCCGTCTTAATAGGGATTCCAGGGTTGTGTTCTAAAATTCTTGCTCTTTGACATTTACAAATGTGTTTTTATTAGCTAATTATGTGGGATAAACTTATTATGACAAACAAAACTAAAAATCACTCGTGGTGTTGAAATTGGACACTAAGTATACTCCCTTGTACAAGTGGAGCATTGAAAATACACACACATGGTTATGTTCAGGATTATTAGATATGCCTTTGGGCTATAAAGAGAGTTTTTTGTAAATAGCTTCAGTTCATTCCATTGGAGAGCAGATGTCCATATATGGACATATGTGTGGTTTTTTTATCGTTCTCCTCCAGACTCACTCAAACCCATCCCACACTCAAATTAGATCATATCAACTGACTGAAGAACTGACAGGCAGTCTGGGAAAACATGTGCCTGCCTCAAGGCTCTTTACAGTCTGTTGTTCAAGAGCATGTTTGTTTCCTATAGGAAGGTTGTCTGTCTATACAGCACTAAGCTTGTAATTATTTTCTTTAGAGTAGAGTGCTGTAATAATAAAAGTTCAATTGTTGTTTGGAAAAAAGACTCTTAATTTGCACAGACCATGTACCATGCAAAAGAAGTGTCCAATTTATTCCCACATAAATTACAAATAGTTATCTGACATAAATATTTCTTACTGGCCATTGAACTTTACTATGCATGTTTATTTTAAAAATTAATTATCTAGCTAATTTTACATATATTGGGTATTAGGCAAGTATAATCAGTGTTGGGGAAAGTTACTTTTAAAAGTAATGCATTACAATATTGCATTACTCCATAAAAAAAGTAACTAATTACATTACTTAGTTACTTTTTTATGAAAAGTAATGCGTTACGTTACTTTTGCGCTACTTTTTAAATCTGGACAGGGCTTGCTTGTTTGTTTTTAAAATAAAAAAGTTCTATTTTTGGCAAATATAAAAGCCTTTTCACACCAAAAGTGAAATGAATAAGCCTCCAGCTGAAGGGAAAGTAAATTTACGTCCGTACGGTAGAATGCAGAAGAAGAAATTTCAACACACTTCAGCAGTAAAAAAAAGACACACAAATGTTTGTCTAGAGTAATTTTTGCTTATTAGTATGGTTGAACTGGATCATCGAAGGTCAGAAGCAAAGACATTGGTTAATAGAATGGGATTAAATACATAAAGGATATTTGTGTTGTTTAACATTTAATTATTGCAGGTTTGCGTCATATTCTGAGTTGCATTATTTTTATTCATTTTGAGGAATACTGAATCTGTGTGGGGGTTTTTTCTGAGTGAGATGAATTAATGCATATTCATATTTATTTTAGAACTACAGTAACATCTTCTGATTTCTCTCAACATGGGGACAGGAGAGCTGTCAATCAATAAATTGAAAAAAAAAAAGTAACTTGCGTTACTTATTTGAAAAAGTAACTCAGATATTCTCTTGTAAATTAAAAAGTAATGCGTTACTTTACTAGTTACTTGAAAAAAGTAATCTGATTACGTAACTTGCGTTACTTGTAATATATTACCCCCAACACTGAGTATAATTAACCTAATTAATAAAATAAAATAAACCAACTTAAATGCATCCTTAAAACCATAAATGAATATGAGCTCGTAAAAAAAAAGCTGCTGTGTTCAGAGGAACTCTATAATAAGCACAGACAGACGAGTGCCACTCAGAGTGAAAGCCGTGTTTCAGAAATAGCCCTAGACAAAGACAAGAGGCAAACATGAGTAGATAAACAAGAATAACAAGGGGACACGACACAGGTGTGCATGATCAATAGAAGAAACCCTTTTTAACATGATTTTGAACACTGTGCATTCAGAAAGGAATAATAGCTTACTGTTTACTGCATCCTGTGCCTTATCAAATTAAAAAAACACGTAGAGTCAAGTAGGCGATTATTCTATTAATGTAGTATATTATAGTACAATGTATTATATAGTACAGTGGTGTGCGATGGTGTTCTAAAATCCACTTTTTTTTTTTTATCAAATGTAAATTAATGTCCCAGTCACATTTTCTTGGTTAAAGAAACATTACTTACACTATCAGAAAAAGAAGAAAAAAAAACAGTTATATTTTATATTTTTACATTAACAATGTAATCAATCATTTATTCATTAAAGCCAAGTATGAATCTCATCAAGTTAAGGTTCTTAAGCATTTTACATTTATTCTAAAATAATAACTCAAGGCAGTAACAATTTAAACAATATGTTTTATTTGTGAACTTATGTTCAGCTATTCTTTTTAATAGTTAACTTTTAACTATTTTTGAATTATTCGGTTCATCAGTCATCAAAGCTCGGTAAATATTGGTCACCGACACAGAGATTTACTTAAAATTTCACCAAGCTGATTACTCACTAAAAACTCCCACAGATCATGTTTTCATGCCATTTTAAGTCTTATTTTGATGTAACAAAGTGATTTTATCTAAGTGTGAGAGCTGTTTGCTTATTTTTTTAAATTAGTCTTCGATTAACGCCAATATATTGTTCATTCAGACTGTTCACGGACGCGCACAAGAGGCGGGATTTATCACATGAACCAATCACAGCCGATCATAACCAGTCATATCCAATCATATCGCGATGGAGGCATTGTCTCCTCTCACGTGATTTTCCCCCACTCTTTCTCAATTACCCCCCACCAAACTCAGCGCACGCTTTAGGGGGTCTGTTAAAACTCAATGAGCTCAGGGGAGACGAGCGAGACCCAGACTCCTGCTGTAACTTTACCTGCTGGTGTCGCTGTTAGACAATGTTTCTTTAGAAAAACAAGTGATTTATACACTTTTTAATGTTTTATTTTGTAATATTGGCGTTGTTTTATTTTTGTATTACAAATCTTTTTCTCATCCAATATATGGAGGAGGCACTGCCTCCCTTGCCTCCTCGGAGAAAACGCCCCTGATATAGTATACTATATTATACTGCATCTGGTAAAACTAAAACTATTAAAATAGCTTTTGTTCCTTTAAATATAGCTGAAACAAAATCAAAAATATTAGATTAAAAAAAAAACTTAACCTTAACTTGACAACTAACTGAAGTAAAATAATTTTGAAATTACTCAATCTAAAACAGAAATAACATTTAATTAAAGCTGAGTAGAAATATTATTTAAAAAGTTCTATAAAAATAAAAATGGCAAAAGGACATAATTAATAAGTACTATAACAGTCTATTTATATAATGTATAATACTAAAATAACAGTGATTTTGCACACTTAAACTGTATACTATATACTGTAAGTATAGTATAGTACAGCATATTGTATCCATTCAAATGGTTTATTATATACTGTGCAGTATGTAGTCAACATTAAGCTATTATTCAATTGTTCTACTATGCTATACTATTTTATACTTACAGTATATAATATAGTATGAAAATATAATTTTTGTACTATGCCTGTACTTCACATTAAAAACATATTGAATTAACACTTTAAATTCTTTAAATAAAATTCTGTTATAATTAAAGATTATTGGAGTATGTTTTACAAGAAAATAAAATTGTAATTATTTGTGAAATTTTCTAGCAGTTTCTGAGTGAAAATTGTTTCAAAGTAATTATTTTAGTGTTGTATATACTGTATGGTATACTGTATATATCACATAAAAATAATTTACCTGGCAATATGTTATAAGCTATCAATCCATTGGTATAGTATAGTATAGTATAGTATAGTATAGTATAGTATATAGTATATACTGCATGAATACAGTAACTATGCTATTTTAAACATATTCAGATATCAATGCACATATCAAAATAAAAGTCTAATATGAACAAAAAATATGACAAACACAAATAACCAAACCGATGACAGTAATATGTAATATATGCTGCTTTCTCTCTCTCTCTCTCTCTCTCTCTCTCTCTCTTGGTGCACCTCTTTGGCCTGCAAACTCTGGCTCAGACCCGGGTGCCGAGGCTTTGCTGAGCCCGCTGGTGCCCATCGTCCGAGCGCTTTTGGACCAGCATGCGGATCGCACCACCCTTCAGAAGATGCTCCCCAACCTGCCCGCCACCAACGGCAGCCCCTCCTTCGCCCAGGATCTCCAGAACTACTGCAGCACTGCTGAGTGGCAGCAGTTCTACCAGAACCACGTCAGTTCAGCCCGATCTCCCTCTCACACACACACACACAGACACTTCGCTTAGAATACACTTGGTTAGACTGTTTACCTTACGATAAGCTGGCAGCTTCTCCGCCACAGCCGTGTCAGTATATGTTACCACAAACCTGTTTTGTTTTACCTTTTTTGGATGCAGAATGTCAGAAATAAGTCTCTCAAACATGAGATAAGCTCATCATTTCACACAAAGCTCAGTGCTGAAGAATTATACACACATTTTTCTTTGAAACAACCCATTCATTTATTCACATCTGTAGCATACTATATATAATCAACTTGGATTCATTTAAGTTTACCCAAAGCTGATTTCAGCATTGGTCCAGCATCAGAGCTGTAGACTCCTCTCTCGAAAACTCAGCAGACGTGTGTTTGTTTTAGCGTGAGGGCACTTTGACGGTTTATCCGCATCCATTGTAGTGATGAACTCTTTATTTAGTATTTTGTTCATCCAGAGCCAAAACAAGACAGAAAAATCCTGATTTATTCCCTTCATCTCACAAATCCGAAACAAACCATGCGTTTAAATTAAACAGACATCATGCCAGAGTGACCTGGAGATGATTTATGAAGGCTGGCGTGTGACAATGTGTGCTTATAAATCTACCCTGTTTGGACTGTTCGTATATACAAATCACACGGTATATTACCATGCCTTGAATTGGGAAGTAAACCAGGTTTTACACTATGCCCAAACATATAGCTAGGTTAGGGGAGGTGAAGAGAGAGAGAAAAAAAAAGTGCTTTGTTTGTTCAGCATTACAGTATAGCTTTAGTAGCTAAAGTAAATATAATATATTTTCAGTATACATGAAAGCAGCAACAGCAGCAATATGATAGAAGACATGAATAACTCTAATTATTTTAATGATATTATAAATGTATACAATTTAAAGTATTTATTATTTTAATGTTTGTAAATTACATTTATAATATAATTAAAAATATTTTATTCAAATTATTGCATTGTATGCACAATATTGTATTTATATTGTATTACATTATTTTTACTTTTTATATATTAATTTCAAATACATTGTGTACATTTAGAAATAATTAAAATAATTATTTTATTTTAATTACTTTATGCATTCATTATCACTAATATTATACAAATAAAACTTATTTTAAACTATATTCTTTTTTTTTTGTTTATTAATTAATTATTAATATTAATTGTAATTAAATAAATATTGTTAATTATTATTTTAAAAATGTTATTAGTAATAATTATTATTAAATAATTAATATTAATTTTTATATATCAAACAAATCTACAAAATTGAAATTGTTCCTTATCCTAACTGTTGGCTGTTTATATTTGATTTGTACAAACACATTCATATATATTTTTGAAGTGTGGTCACAGATGTGCATGTATTGGCTGCTTTGGTAACTTCAAACATGACTCATTCAATCAAATATTATTGCAAGAAATACCCATGTTTAAAAAATTGAAATGTTTTATAATGTATGCCTGTAGGTGGGGCCCACGATGCAGCAGTATGAACTAGACACTTTTGGAAAGAGTCATGACCTGATGTCCAACTTTTGGAATTCCTGCTTTGATGACCTCATGAGCACTGCACAGAGGAGAGACAAGGACCGTTCCGACTGCAAAGCCAAGTTTCAGGTATCTGTTCACCCCATTTATTCAGATACAGAGGGAATATGTTGGGCTGGTAAACTTAAGATTGCTGTTCAGCTCCCACATTGACCAGACCGTGAGTTTCTACTGCTTGGGATACTGGGATTACTCAGTACACATCCCAAACTCCAACCAAACCATGTGTTTCTGATAGATGAGCTAATAACATGGACTGTTTGTGTTCTTCTGTTTACAGGAGCTCATTATTGACCCGTACCTAAAACGGGTGCGCACAGAGAACAGCCGCTACCACAGTCTGCAGAAGATGAGTAACAGCCAGCAGGGGGTGGTGGGGGGACACTGGAAATCACTGCGCAGGTTACTGAGCAGTGAGAGAGGAGCCTGGGCACTCAGGTCTGCATGCAGTAAAACATTCTGATTCATAGTGAATATTATGCATTGACATATTTCATGTCATTTATCTCTCATTTATTTTGCACCATTATCACTATCAGAATAAACAAATAAATACATACAGTACATTAATACATTATATATATATATATATATATTAGTGGTGTCAAAATTAGCGTTAACGCAGGCGATTAATTTTTTCAGTTTAACGCGTTAAAAATGTTTAACGCAATTAACGCAGAGGCGGGGCTAGGGTTGGCCACCCCACTCACAACTGCTGTTTCTGTCACTTTTTCTCTTGACAAAGGGGAGCAACGGTTTGCCCCGCCAAGTGGTAGCGGCATTTTGACACAATTGCATCGCAACCGACCGCTCCTCCTGGGGAACTCCTGCGTACCCCCGCGCTGGACCCCCATCAAGGGTGGTGAGGGAGGATGAGCCACTGGGCCGGTTTCTGGCAGTGAAAGGTCATCATTTCCGGGCCCGTATCCGGCACCGCGACCGCACAGAGGGCGGCAACGCTGACGGATCTTCATTCCCGGAGAAATCCGGCTCACCCTCCGATGCTGCAACCAACATCCGGTCGTCTGGGGGAGCCTCGGAAGAAACAGGTGGTACCCCCCGGGAGGGTCCAGCCT